GAGGGACTAGGCCCTCCTTGCTGTATATGGGCTGCAATAGTATCCCTCCATAGGGAATTTTTAAATGCTAAAATTTCTTACTGCGTTGTCCTGTCTGACCTGGAACTCAATATGGAGTAGGAAGGCCATGCATGAACTTGTAGCAATCCTCCTGCCTCTGCCTCAGGAACGCTGGGGTTGCCGGCTGGAACTACCATTGTCTAGCTCTGCACAATTTTTGCTGTTGCTGTTGTTGTTTTGTTTTTTAAGACGCGTCTCACTGTGTAGCTCTGGCTGGTCTTGGACTCGCAGAGATTCGCCTGCCTCTGCTTCTCGCGTGCTGGGACTAAAGGCGTGTCCTTTCCCACCAGACTTAGATTTTTTTTAAATTACATTTGATTGTTGTATGTGCGTGTCCCCGCCCCCGCATGCCTGTGTCACGGCGAGGAAGTGGAAGAATTTAAGGAAGCTAGCTGGTTCTCACCGCCCGGTTTTCCCGGGTGTTGAATTCAGACCCTCAGGTTGGTCAGAAGCTCCCTTCCGGGCTGAGTCATCTCGCCAGGTATTAGCTTCTGTCCAGAGCCTTGTCTCACATCTCAGCTCTGACAGTTACCCTGACCACTACCTTAGTCCTAGTCACCGCCCTATCTTTAACCCCTGAACTCGTGCCTTAACTCTCTCTGGAACCCCAACTTTACCAATAATCTTGACTTCTGGGGCGCCCCCTCTGAAGATCCTCCAGAGTTTCTTGGGGAGCAAGTGCTGGCAGTGACCACCGTGGAGCAAGGCCAGGCGCTGCTGCCGGTGTCAGTGTCCGCCAACCCCGCCCCGGAGGCTTTCAACTGGACCTTCCGAGGCTACCGCCTCAGCCCAGGTGGGATGTGGGCCTGGAGAAGGGTGCGATTCAGGAGGATGGGCGAGCCTTCCAGGCTCTTTACCCTGGCCTTCCCCAGCTGGCGGTCCTCGGCATTCCTTCCTGTCTGGCGGAGCTCTGCAGTTGTGGAATGTGACCCGAGCTGACGATGGCATCTATCAGCTGCACTGCCAGAATTCAGAGGGCACCGCTGAGGCGCTGTTAAAGCTGGACGTGCATTGTGAGGACCTCTCTCCCCTGCAGAAACCTGGGATATGAGGGTTTCCAGGAGTTGGTCTTACCGTGGAAATCACACCCACTCAAGGGATCTTGCCCATCCTTGTGAAAGGCCCGCCCAACCAG